TTATTATTACCTTCGTCTACTACGTACGTAGTAGTCTCGTCTACTACGTACTTACTTTCGTTCTACGTACTTACGTACCTACTCCCTCCTTCCTTCTCTCTTCTCTCTCTCTCTCTCTCTCTCTCTCTCTCTCTCTCTCTCTTTTTCTTCTGTCTCTCAAGTTTATAGTTAGAAATTGTTTTGTTCCTTTTCCTTAGCTTTATATCAGAAGTAATCATTCTATTCATCCATAAGCTAAGTTGATTTTGGGTCCTTGCCTTAGTTTCTGCTTGTATTCTATTGCGATAGATGGTTAATTAGTAGAAGTGTGTCAACAGATCTTCGCATTCTGAATGAGTTCCAGCAAATACAGTCGTTCTCTGCTTTTAACAGTATATACAACAATACTGGCATTTTTGGAATCCATGCAACCACGGTAAGCCTCCTACTTAAGCATTCATGTAACTTGGTAGAACTCACATTTTCCTTCCAACTGGATTTAATAGGATCATGGTTAGCTGTTTCATTATCTCCTCATGTAACATGATAGTTATATCTGGATTTTAGATCTTAGCTTTAGTACTCGTAACAAGAAAACTAATATATCCATATTTGACTTTGTAGATCGTGTGTGAGTTTTAGGGGTATGTCAAACCTTTAGAACGAGTTTTGAAGCAATTTTTATGTACACCCATCTGCAATGGCGCATCAAGCAAAAAGAGTTCTGATTTTCTACTTTTTGTTATTTTTTAATTTTTACAAGTGCACTGGAAGCAATTTTTTTGTATGCCCTTCTGTAATGGCGCATCAAGCAAAAAGAGTTTTGATTTTCTGCTTTTTTGTTATTTTTTTATTTTTACAAGTGGACAAAAACAGTTATCTGTTTTTATATCATATGGACCTCTTTGACGTCTACCCAAGCCGAAATTTATTACTTTGTGGCTTTCAAAAAGACTGGGTTGACCACAAGTGCATTGACCACAAGTCCACCGCCACCTAAGCAGGGTCAAATATGTTTTCCAATCGATGCCAAACTGGCTCTTTTTTCTGTCAAGGAAATTGTTTCATGGAAGACAAGCTTAAGGTGTGGTCCACTAGGAAGCTATTATTTGAGGAAGGATAATTGATATTAGTAGATAATATCATGAAATCTAAGTTTTAAGAGGCCAATTTCCTGGACTCAATATGAGGTCTTGAGAGATTCTCTTCGTGTTGAGGTGGAAATTCTCTCCTTGTAGAGTAGTTGGATGGTTTCAGGCACTTGGATCAGTGAAAGTTTGATGCAGAAGTTTGACCCTTTTTTACTGGATTGTGCTTTTTCGGCAATTTGCTGGGTCACCCTTTGATGGTTTTAGTTTCAACTTTTGAGTGCTTGTTAACAGTGTAGAGAAAGTGGCTCGGTATTTATGGATGATTCAGTTGGCAGTTCTGCACTTATCGTGGATAGGTCCTTGGACCCAGGTGGTTCTCCCCTGCTTTCATTCAGGATGTCGGGATGATTGTTTTAAGTGCATGTCATTGTAACTACTAAGAAAGAAGGATGATATTGAATTTTTATGGCATTCTTTATGGGATAGGATGCAGAGGAAATTTGAAGCCTCACGGCTCAGGCAGCATGTGCGTTGACTCTTGACCTATTACTTTAGTCGATGGCTTATCTGATGTCATAACAAAGGTTTACAGTTTACTTCTCTCGTCATATGGTGTCTTATGTTTGTGATCTCAAGGATGCTATTTATTAAAAGACTGAAGGATTCTAGACGTGTTTTCTTGATTAATGCTGTATTGGATTTTAGGTTGATTTGGATGGAACTGAATGTGGGGGAACCCGATTATTGCGTGGCTGGTGGTGGAAATGAGATGGAATGCAAATTAAAAGTGTTATGGCATTTTGCCAGATGCTTAAGCTTGCATTTTCGATTGCTAGTTTGTGCATCATGCCATCATTTGCTTGTGTTTCTTTTGTGGACTACAGTAGACTGGTCCATTGTCTCCATATGACTTCACTTTTCTGGTGGATGCTCCTGGTTGTATGTTCAGTGGCTGGCCTTTTAAGATGATATGAGGTTTGAAAATAAGTGGCTATATGTTTTTTATGACATGTTTTTCTAGTGGTTGCATCAACCCCGCTAGACTGAGGCCCCATTTGGATGGATTAAATTTTTGGAACAGGACTGTTCTTTTTCTTCCACCCAATTTAGGAGTGAAGAACTGCCCAGCCTGGTCTGCTCCACTATTCAAGGGTCTCAGATTTTTATAAACTGCCCAGCCTGGTCCGCTCCACTATTCAAGGATCTCAGACTTTTATAACCTGCTTATCAACAAATGCTGCTAACATGTCCCTGATCCCCCCAATAAAAGAAAAAAAAATTGAAAAAGAGAAAAGGTTTCCCCCCATTTATAACTAATTCCTATGCTTTTTGGAGTTGTTTAGCTGTCCAAACAGCCTGAAGTATCTAGTTTATTCTTTAGTTAATTATTTGGAATAAATTTCAAATGGAGGACTTCCATGCTCTTTGCAGGAAACCTGTATCGTGTTGATAAACTAGGATATCCATATGGAAACTTTTGAAATGTTCTCCACCATTTGAAATTCATGCGGTGGCTCATGTTGAAATCATGTGGGGGTGATAGGTAGCACTTTTTTCATATTGAATCTTCTTGGTTTATGTGCGGTGCAGAGTTTTTTTTTTGGTTTGACCTACATTTCCCCTTGCTAGAACCAGTGTTACTCATGAAACTGTGTTGATTCACATTGAAAATAATTATCGTCTTTCAAATGTTCTCTTTATTTGTTTATCCAGAATATTTTAAATGTTCATAGCATCTTTTTTGTGTGGGTCTTTACGCTTTTGTAAAATGTGTTCATCTGTTCATTGTGCACATGGTTTTTCTGGATTTCAAAGAAAATCAGGGTTGCTTAGCTGTCAGATATACATTGGATCTTTCCAAGTGTTTATTCTTTTTATTTCCCTCCTGGTTAAGTGGCGTTCTTGTTTTTCTAACTAGGATTCTATGGGATGATGAAATTGTAGAGTGAGTTGAAGCGTTTGATAAAATTATGCTGAAAGCTGTCTTAGACTGAATGCACCTTTTTAAGCACTTACTTTTTCCCTCTCCTGAATGGGTGGTGTACTTCTCATCATTCTTATCAGGGTCCTGAGTTTGTTTCTAAAGCTGTAGATTTAGCAGCGAGGGAACTTATCTCCATTGCGACTCCTGGAGAAGGTATGCTGCCTCAGCTCATTTTGATTCTATTCTGAAGTGTATTAAAGGTGTTCTTCAAGCCAATATGATTATCTGAAGTTTTCTACTTCCTTTTGAACAGTTGATAATGTACAGCTGGACCGTGCCAAGGCTTCGACAAAGTCAGCTGTGCTGATGAACTTGGAGTCTAGAGTAAGTCACTGGGTTCTTACCATTGTAAATTATTGTTTGCTAATATGTATACTTGTCGGCAGTCAGTGTATACTTATATTCCATTGACTTTCAGATGGTCGCTGCAGAAGATATAGGCCGCCAAATCTTGACATATGGAGAGAGGTTTGTTCTTGATTCCATCTCTGACATGGAATATGACAATTTTGCATGAACTTTTTGGGTTAAGAATCTTAGTTTGGTATTCTCAATAACCATGTTTGAATGCTACGTGATTTTGCGATGGGATAAATGACAAAGAAAGCCCTCATGATTAAATGTATAGTACCCCCCTATGGGTACACAATTATTTAAACTTGCCCCTTTCTGTGCCATTGCAAATTTCTGCTTCACATAATACAAAAGCAAACTTATTCACACAATCTTTCAATACTGGGCATCTTTAGTACCAAGAAGTTGCAATTTATGAACTAAGAACAATGTTTGGCTTTGGCCATCATTTTTGTTGGGGGATACACAATCTTGAGAGTGGATGCGCCTGGAGAGTGATCAAGCTGTTAATGAATGGCTCGTAGAGAAAATAATAATTACCTTCAATATCCTCAGCATGAAACACTTGTTTTGCTAAAAAAAAAAACATGTTATTTTGGTTCTTATTGTATAATTGAGTCGGTGGGTGTGGTTTTTTCTTAGAGCTGCTCTACACTAAGTAGTGTGTACCGTTCACTCCTCCGAAGATCTTAATTGAGAAAGTTTTTTTACAATATTTTTTTTTGTTGAAGTGTTACCATTTCTTTGTTTTATTTATTTTTTGTGTTAGTTTGTCTAAAAACCAATAACAAAACCAATAATGCAATCCGTAACTGGGGCATCTGAGTGACTAGGGCAGCTTGAAGACAATAATTTTGCATTTTATCAGAAACCTCTTCATAGTTTAGTCAGATTGTTTCTTTTTTCTGCTCGAATATTGGACCCTGATCTGATCACCTATCTCTTTCAAGTGGTTGTAGCATGTGGGCTGTATTCCGTTCTAAAAGCTTTTCAATGTCAGGAGCCAACTATTCAAGTGTCAAGTCAGAAGTTAAAAAGCAAAAACTTTCCCTAGTTCAGATGAATTTCCCTGAGAAAATAGAAATGAGACTAAATATGTGTGGCATGCGTATACGGCTTACTTCGAGTGACTCTTCATTTTTAGGACGAGTGGCTTTATAATGAATCAATATCATAAAAGAGATCATTGCCATAACTGCAGGAAACCAGTTGAGCATTACCTGAAGGCTGTGGATGAAGTCACATTGAAGGACATTTCTTCAATTGCAGAAAAGCTAATCTCTACCCCCCTAACAATGGCATCTTGGGGAGATGGTACTCAATTTTTACCTCTTCTTTTTTTAAATATTTAATCTCAGATCAGAAATCAAATTCCACAAACCTTTCGTTATTTCTGTAAGGAAAAAGTTGGGCTTTAAAGCCGAAAATATGTTAAAACCATAGCCTCATTTATTTTGTTCTTTGGATGAATTGGTTTTTGTTTTTTGGATGAACTTGGTTTTTGTTTCTATATTCCATTTTCCTTTTTCTGCCTATTTGTTTAAGAACATAATTATGCTGATACTGTAATGGCTTTCTTCTTTTGATAAATTGATATTTGTTTTTCTTTTTTAAATTTCTTTTTTGCAGTTCTTAATGTCCCAAGTTATGAATCGGTCAGCCAGAAGTTTCATGCAAAATAAAATGCCAGCGCGGATTGAGTCAAGTTCTCAATTATGTTGCAATTTTGGGATGGCTTCCAACACAGCTGCCAAAAATAAATTAAAAAAAATATGAAAGTCTACCAAATTCCATTTGGTTCCATAAATTGGTGAGCTTCTGCAGTGTTGTAGCATCACCGAGGCCTGCTGCTATGGCTTTGCAGCTTCTGTTTGGTTTCCTTTATGTAATATCTATTTGTTAATCACAAATTCTTTTGTCTTTTAGAGACTAGCATACTTTACTATTAACCAGCATTGACAATTTGGTGATAGGATCACTCTTTTTACCAAAGAATAATCTTTTGATTTTTATTTTCCTTTTAGTTTTGAAATTGGTGAATTTTTGCTTTTGCTTTTTGTTCGCTAAGGGTAGACTAGCTTGTTTTGGTTCTTGGGTAAACCAGGTTCGAACCCATATATATTTCATGCCTATGTTACATGGACACTAATATGTGTCTCAGTCACATATGGAAGTGTTCAGTGTTGGAAACATCAAACTACAAAATAAGCTTTTACCATATATGCCGATGTATTATTCCAAGAATGGTAGAGGTGGAATTTTAGGTCATATTAATGCTTGTTGAACTGTGCGAATCTCATGGATACTCCAAATTCGATGGTCAATGTTTCTATTGTGAGATTTCAAGAGAAGTCGAGGAAAAGAATCTTTGTTTATAAACTTGCAGATGCAAATGTCATGTCTTTTAGCGTGTTGATGGAAATTGATCATATAAACAAGCATGTGCGTGTGACATTGTCTATTGCAAATATTCTAAAGAAAGTGCCTTTTGGGGATTAAAACGTTAAGATTGAGGAAGGAATATATAAATCTGTGGGTGCATGGCATATGACAGTCCCTGTAGGTACATCCATAGCTGACTTTCGCCGGCTGGTGATGAAAATTGATCATATGGTTTCAATCGGTCATGAGTGGGATGCCTCTTTCACTCGATGGACCTTCCCAAAGGGTTGCCGGTCACTGTTGAGCCCCATCCATGTTCCTGGTTAGAATGGTCATTGAAGAGATGTCGCCAACAGGTGTTTCTCAAGACGTCAGCCTGTCCACTCTCACCATCCACCAAACCTCATGCCAAGACCACAACTCTTTAACATGCCTTCCACCTGGCTGGCCCATCAGGTATTGCGACTCTCATTTCTCTATTTGGCTTTCCTTTATCTTTACTATTATGTCTCAAAACCCTCTTGAAATTCAGTCCCAAGTTCATCAGGGGCCAGGACCCTCAATCATTAGGCTCACCATGGTGCAATGGGATAGGGGATTCACTTTGGACAATCTTAATATAAAAGTCCCTTAGATGTTGGCTGAAGAAAAGCACCTCTAAGGCATACTTTGTAGCGAATTGCCCCTGTCCTTCCCTATATCACGGTCACAGAGTCTTTAGACTATTCTTTTGGCTAGTCTTCCCATAGGGCTGTTAACTAGAAGCCTATTAACTCTGAGAGGGTGGCCCTAACTAAGGAGAAGGGGTGATGTGCTTAAAGCAATGAAGATCTTGTTTGAAGGGAACCCTACAGGTGGTGGAAAATATCCTTTAGGAATCGGATGTGGAGGAAGTGCTAGATGGTGTGGTCATTACCCTTTAACCCCGTCGTTTCTGATAGAGGCAGCATCTCTAGGGGGAAAAAACCTTTTAAGCCTAAATAAAGGTCATTTCTTGGAATGTCCGAGACCTTTCTAGAGGAGAATTTTAAAGCAAATGGTGTAGGTAGTTATACCCACCTTCTCTTGCAAGAAACCAAGTTTCTTAACCCAGACATCAGGTTGATCTGGTCCTTTTGTGGCTTCTCCAATTGCGTTCTCCTTTTTTCGTTCCTCAGGAGCATTTAGGGGTTTAAGGGAAATTATCATAAATATACTTTAATTTTTTGACAAATTAAATAAAACCTCTTAAACTATTATAAATTTTATCCCTTTTTTTTTTTTTTTTTAAGTTTTGACATTTAAAATACTTCGAGTTATCATGGCATTTAAAATGCTGTATAAAATGCAGTTATTACGTAAAAGTACCGTAATGTTAGAGCTTCACAATAATATAACTACTGTGAAGGCTATTTTGGTAAAAGAAGGTCAAAAAATAGGTGTGGATGAAGTTTAAGAAAGTCGAAGTTTTGTTTTTTTTTTTTAAAAATAGAGGTATATTCTGATAATTTCTCATGTTTTAATGAATCAATTTTGGTTTGTACAACAAAATGCTTTCTATGGTTTTTGAAGGTTCTGTACTAAACACGAAATGGTGTTTATATAATGCATATGGGCCTAATTCCCTGAATGAAACACGAATTGGTGTTCATGTAATGCATATGGGCCTAATTCCCTGAATGGAAGACTATCCTTTTTGCTCGATCTTTCTATGCTATCTACCCAGTTGCCTTGGTGTAGGGCAGGGGACTTTTAACATGATTAGGTGGCTTATTGAATCTAGTTCTCAGAACTCTATAACCAGTTTCACGACTAACTTTAATAATTTTATCCAGAGGCACAAATTATTAGTCCTCAATATCGTGGGAACTACTGTTACATGGTCCAACAATTCGATTATCTCCCCATTAGATAGATTCATGTATTCAGCCATCTTGGGAGGTGCTGTTCCCCAAAACAACAGGTTAGACTCTTCCGTAGTTAGCATCGGACCACGTTCCGCTTCTGTTCGACACGGAAGGGCAACCCTTAGGGCCATCCCCTTGTAGGTTCGAACTAATGTGATTAGAAGATAGATGATTTGGGAAGAGGTGAGGGATGTGGCATCAATCTAATGTGCAAGGTTAGGACTTTGTCCCTTTTAAGGAAGTTGACGTTGCTCAAAGAAAGACTGAAGGTAGGGAGCAACAAGTCAATAGAGGTTAGCACGAGAGATTCCCTCAATTGAGCTAGTTAATCAAAGAGAAAAAAAGTTCGAAGGGGTCCTCTGGCTGACTAGAATGAAAGAGAAGATTTCAAGCGAGTTCTAGATGCATCTCTGAAAAAGGAATTAACGTTTTGGTTTCAGCACTGGAGGTCTAAATGCGTTAACGAGGAGGATAATAACACAAATTATTTTCACGAACTGTCAAAATTTCAGGTGTAAGTCCAGCTCAATAGAAGGCATAAAAATTCAGGGGATGTAAGAAAATTATTCAGAGGGTAGGGATCAGGCTATCCGAAACTACTTTAAAGTTGCTTTCTCTTTGTAGATGAGTATTTCAATTGTTCCTCGCTCCAAACTTTCCACTGGCCAAGCTCAAGACCTGGAAAAGGACTTCACTTTAGAGGAGATAAAGGAAGCAATCTTTGCCCTTCCAATAGATAAAGCTCCTGGTCCAGACAGCTATCCATCGGCCTTTTATAAATCTTTTGGGAGGTTGTTAAGGAAGACCTCTTACGGCACTTCATTGAATTCCTCCAAAGGACAGTGCTGAACATAGCAATTAACTCCTTCATAGCTCTACCAAAGAAACAATTTATGGAGAACTTGAACGATTCAGACCCCTCAGCCTACTCACTACCCACTACGAGATGCTTATGAAGGTCTTAGTGAATAGGCTCGAGCAGGTGCTCAACAATGTTGTAAAGTGTCCCCCGGTTGCCTTCTTATGGGATAGTCGAATAAAAAATAGCATTCTAATAGCACAGGAAAGTATCTATTCAACAAAGAAGATGGACCTACAAGGGTCTGCTGTGCAGATTGAACTTTGGAAAGGCATATGACACACTGTGCAACTAGCTATGTTGCATGGGATTCGATGATGGATGGATATATGGATGCATGGATGCTTGTCATCTGTCGTATAATCATTGGTAGAGTTAATCAATGGTAGAGTTGTTGATTCTTTAAAGCTTCTTGAGGACTTAGGCAAGGGGCTCCCCTCTCCCCTTTCTATTCACCGTTGCGGAATCCTTCAACCAATTGATAAAAAGGGTGTCCTAAAATGACTTCCAATTATGTGAATGGCCCAAATATATCTCATCCACTGGTAATAGGAAATATGTTGATTTTCTGTGAAGCCTCCCTCACTTAGGTGCAGCACCTGTGGCTCTTCCAAAGGTGTTGCAAACTCGTATCAGGATTCAACATCAACATGGAAAAACCCAAACTGATGGGCATGAACTATACCAAGCAGGAAGTGGCTAATTGGGCTCTATGGATGGGATGTGAAACTGATTCTTGATCAACCAAATCTTTGGGGCTTCCCCTACTGGATTATGGACCAGATAGGTCAATTTGGGAACCGGTAATGCAAAGATTTCATTATAAACTTCTCTTTGGAAATATAAGATATTTATATTTAGGAGCTTCCATCATCTTGATCGAAGCCACCTTGTCGAATCTCTTGGCATATTACTTCTCCTTGTTTAGAGTTCCAAATCAAGTGATTCAGACACTAGAACATATGATGAGGTATTTCCTACGGAGTATATCATTTAAAAAGAACAGATTTCATTTGGTGAAATGGAGCATGGAGTGCCTGCCAAAGGATGGTGGATTGGCTATCCATTGGCTCAGGCTCATGTTTGAAGCGATGCTGACTAAGTGGTGGTGGAGACTAGCGACAAGATCATATGAGTTATGGAAATGGGTCATAAGTATGGGGTTGAGAGAGATGGCTTCTTGACAAAAAAATGATTTCAGGTGCATCTTCGGCTACATTTATTTGAAAAGGGGTTGACTCCTCTAGAAACATCGTTCTTTCACATAGTAGAGTCGAGGTCGGGGATGGTTGTAAAACCTCATTTTGGTAAGCAAAATGGATTGGAGAAAGCCCTTTAAAAATTGGTTTCCAAGAGTCATATATATCAGAAAGTAAGGATGTAAAAGGAATAAATAGTTGGAGAGGTTTTTTAAGGGGAAAGTAGGAATACAATTTGGAACATCAATCTGAGCTACAAAAGGGTAAATTCCACAATGGTAGATCAGTATGATTTTGCTGTATCAATTTTGTTCCTTCTTCTATTATTTTGAGGAGGGAAGATGCAGTTCTTTGGGACCTCAACCCAGAGGCATGGTTCACAGTGAGATCCATCTATAATCACATGGCTAGAGATCGTTATGTTCGAACAATCCCAGGGGTGAATAAAGTGTGGAGCTTCAATTCCCCTCACATGGTGAAGGCATTTTGGTTGGTAGAGATGATGCCTATCAGTGGAACAACTTAGAAAGAGATAGGTGACTATAACAAGGGTACGGTTTGTATAGGCGAGGCTCTAACCGATCAAAGCAAAGCGTACCTTCAAATAGTATCGAGAAATGTGGTTTCAATACTGAAAATCTTTGTGATAGCCTTAAAATATATTTTCGTCTCTAATTATAAAATTTAAAGTTTTAAAAATAATGTA